CAAAGCTAATGAGAATAATTAGCACTATGATGCCTCCTAAGCAAACACAAAATAACTGTTCCTTAAGGAGCAGCCTCTCCCTGCAAGAGCAGCAGGGACAGAGGACTTCCAGGGGCAGGAATCTTACAAGCCAAGAACCAGGTCCGGCAGCTGGCTGGGAACACCCAGACATCCTCCTGGCTTTGTCCATGGGCCAGCAGTGGAGCTGCAATTCCCTAAACTTTGGGCTAACAGACCATCTTTTTTCTGACCTCAAAACCAGCTACGATGGGCTGATGAACAGAGAGTATACAGTTCAGCTTAACCCCTTGTAAACCAGAGTCTGGAATCACCGCCTTAGATGCCAAGTTTTTTGTAACAGTGCATCATACACTGCCTGCCAAAACCTTGGCAAAAGCCGAGCCGGTCGAGGGTGCTTCTCGGGGAGTGTTTCAGTGGCGCTGGTCAGTCGGTCATGCCAGCAGTCCTGGTTGCCAGCAGATAAAATGGGAGTCGTTTCCTCTGTGGAAACGCCCAGGTACCCTCCTTCCTTAGTGGGTAAGAGCAGGAGGCAGAGAGCAAGCAGAGCATCTCCTCGCTAGCAGCCAAAGAAAATAATGGGAACAATGTTGGTTTCCCATCAGTTCCAGCACAGAGCAGTTACGTACACAACCAGATTAGCCAAAGGGCTGCACACCCGCGGCTCCAGCGGATCCACGGAACGCTCAGGGATGCTGGGCTGCCAAAGGCAATGCCAGCGTTTGGCCCCGACGCTCAGCACCTGCCGATAAAAGCTCATTTTCCCCCTCCGCCTCCAGCTGTCAGAATTCACTCCTGCCATCCCAATGTACCGTTACCGAGGCACTCACACTATTATGCTAAAACGAGATGCACGTGGACAACAGTCCCCACTCCCCCGAGTGTCGCTTTGAGCCAAGGGCTTGTTTCACAGTTTGTGAAGTGCAGTTGGCAGGGCTTTAGTATTATTCTAGGAAATCCATGCAGAGCTACCTTACGAGAAAGAAATGTTGATTATCAAAAATAGAGAGAGGGATTTTGCTTTTTATTTTTTTAAAAGGCAAGCAGGCCAAGGAAACACCCATAAGCCAAGTTGCCAGGTCTTGACCTTTTGTTTGAAAAGCAGTTAGCCTCCCAGATCACCATATCAACATCACCCATGAGGCAATTCCATCTGCAACGAGACTCTGGCTGAAGCGTTCTCTTAGCGCTTACTCCCGACGGGGGTTGCATCTGCTTTCCCGCTCCCAAATGAAATGCTGTAAGAACACAAACCTTACCCCTCTAATATTTTTTCACCACTCACATCAATCCATCTTTGTGGATGACTGCAATTTTAAGTCGGCAAGATTTGGGGACCTACTTTGGTCTGGGTGGGAGTTTGAAGAATTCCCAAGGCTGTTTCACCCAGCTGCAACTAGTTCGGGGGGGCTTGGGAGTCAGCGGGGCTATCGGATCCAGAATGCAATTTTACAGAGGAGGAGAGGAAACGGGGGTTTGGTAGGTTGCTTTTCTTGATTCAGACTGGAGAGCAAGTCTCTTCCAGTCTCCCCTGTGGGAGCCACTCCAGTAGAACAGATAAGGACATCGTTACTGCGTCAGAGATAGATGGGTAACTCCTTTACAACAGGAGCCAAATTACCCTCCTGGATTGCAGCGGACTGAGATTATACTCATCTTGGGACTCTATTGTGGGTCTCCCACAGCCCAAAACATTCACTTTCCTGGGACCCTGTCCAGGCTTCCTTTTCCCTCCTTTTGGCGGATGAAACAAATCCAACATCCTAGACTTTTTCAGTAGATGGGAAAACCACTTCCTACCAGCTGCTACTAGTCTGCACAAAACGCCTGGTCCTGCTCTCCTGGTCCGACTACACAACAGGACTCCGACCTCTGGGCTATTTCTATCTTGTTTAAGCCAAGGCTGGGGAACAGTGATGCACAATCCTTGCTCAGCCTCGCTGCTCTTGCCCTTCCTCAACAAGATTTAATCTGCTTCAGCGGATGTCCAAGACATTTGAATCACACCTTAAAAAGGCCAAAAGACCAAACCCCAACTGCAAGAGCAAAATCTCTGATTCACTGGAAACCATTTGTTATCAGCAATTAAAGTTTCTTGCTGATAAATGATTCATGTTTTGAAAGCCCAGATTACTCACGTTTAACCCCGGCAGAAATTCCTATGTGGTTATGAACGCCTGGGCTATGCATCTACTGCGACAGGCTGGAAGTCTGAATGGGTAAAATGCCGAATGTTTACATGCACGAAGTCGGGGCTCTTACACGTAGGAGAGCTTTCATTCACTGTCTGCAGAAAAAAAACCAAGAAGTATTTCAATTTCCACTTGACTGATGCAAATATCAACATAAACTGATTTCACCAGCAAATATAAACACCAACTTCTGCTTTACTGGAGGCAACAGAATTACGACAGTGTAATGGAGATCCAGACCTCGACTGCTAATTAGAAAGGCTCAGAAGCAACGCTCCTAGCTCATGGTACACTCTAGTTCACAGTAACTAAGGCTTTTGTCAGCCATTTCATGTCATTGCTTGCGGTGTTCCAAACTGGATTTTTCAAAAAACATCCAGACTGTAAACCAGATGAGTCATGACCTTGGCACAGAAGGTAAATTATTCTCAAATATTTTATATTTGTGCATTAACAGATGATTAGCCAAGAAAAAATGAATGCCCAAGTGCCAGAAGTAACTGACAAAAGACTGAAGGGAAAAATGAGAATCCTTCATTTTAATTTTATTATGGTGTAACCAGCTGTAAGGAATTACTGGTCTGAAGCACAGTGTGCAATTGTCCTATCCTAAACATGTACTAAAGCCTGTAATTCAGAACGCTCCTGACACGTGATGTCATCACTGGCAAGCTACGATTTGGTTTTTTCTCCTTTTCTTGAAGGAGTTTACATTTCTCAGCAATTACCACAACCATGGGCACAGCCCGGGCACAGCAATGCTCCAGCACGTCTGGAGACTGTGTTTCTTTAATACCAGCTGCTTTGACTCCGAGATTAAAAAAAATACGCAGTAAATTCTGGATTGATCATACTTGATAGTTTGCTGATAAGCAAGAAAAAAACCAAACCTTGTTTCCAATGCAGTGGCATCGATACATGTTCTTTGCCAAACGGAGGGCAGCCTGAAACGAATGACCGTGATCTTATACTAAACACAACATGAAGGAGCTATGCTAACAGGAAAAAAAACCCAAAACCAACACAGTGAGAGATTAACCAATTAAGCTACTTTCCCACTAGGATATTATGTACTACCAGGCAGCTGATTTTTTGAGTGAAGAGACTCATCAGGTGCCTAATAAGAGAAGACACCTGGCACAGCTCCACCACCCTTCAAACTGATGCCGTGGTTAATGAGCTGGCTACCATACAAGGCCAATCAGGCTACCAGTATCCCAGGTTACTCACTAGAGGCTTCAACGGCCTAATGAGTGCCAAACGCATGGTGCCACTGACCGGACAAGAGAGAAGAGGGGAAAAATACTGAGGAAGGAGGTAAGACGCCACTCCCCTCCTGAGCAGCCCAGCACTCAGTGCCCACCAGCACAGCCCTCACCAAGGAGCCAAACTAGCAGAAGAAAATGAGAAGGGCAGGCTGAGGAGCAAGAGGAAGATCCCAGACCCAAGGCAGAGTTCTTCACTGGCAGACAGAGGCCGACCCTCGTGCCGCCCAGCACCCCTGGACAGGGGGCTGTCCCCAGCAAAGGGGTGCTGGGCACCCATCCTGCATGTGCTGGCTCTTCCTAAACCACCATCGGCTACAGGCGTACGCCCAGCAGGGAACAAGGCTGATTAATGATAAAAATACTTGTCTTTTTAAAAATTTATTTTTAGTTCGAAGTGAATCACAACTTCCTGCCCCTCCCTCTTCCGTTCTGTGAAGACATAAGTACCTCCAGATCAACTTTTTTTTCAAGCATCAAGAGCGCAACACATTCCAGCTGCTGCTAATTCAGGTTTTACAGAGATGATGTCGTTGGAGAGAGATTGTTTATGCAATTCCTTAAAGAGCAAAAGGGAAAAATCCCACATACAGATAAACTTTCGGCAAGTAAACACGCAATGTACACAATTACTGCGTTATCAAAAGTATGATGCATTTATCACAACAGCTGAACACCTTCCAACACGTACCTGATACGGCCCAATCGCAGTGTGAAGGGAGACTACGTACCCTATAAGGGTAACTGTATACCGCTATAGGGTGATCACTCCTGCCACAGCTTACAGATGCATTTGACAATACTGATGCCAGAAAAGGAGGGGTTAGTTTAATCTTACCCACGCTCTGCTGATCTGCGATACCTGGTTTAATTAACACCCTATATTCTATGTATGTAAACACCTCTGATTTCAAGACCAGAGATTTAAATGAAATCAACAGATCTGGACTGGTCAACGTTAATGTCTTCATTAACTCTGATACCTTATTTATCCCTGAGCAGCACCTTAAAATTGTTCCCCCAAAACTCACTGAAGAACATGTAACTACTTCACAAGAATGTAAAACTGCATTTGGATAAACCTGTCTTAGAAGTCCCACTTTCCTTCACTGGTTTGAAAAAAACCAAACCAAACCAAAAGCACAAAACAAAGAACGTGTCCCATCCCCTTTGCTTTTAACATGTACTGCAATACCTTTAAAAAACCCCACAAACCCCCCTATCAAACATCATCACCTACAGACACACTACAGACTACAAAAATATTGCATAGGAGTGTCAGCGGGCATCGCCCCACAACATGAGAGAAAATGCTAAGTTTTCTTTAAAACATTATGGCAACATTCTAATTTATTTTCCTTTTAAAAATCAAGTGGTTTCACTTTATTTCAAAATTGTACAAAATGGCCATGGCTGTTTATAAAAAAAAAAGTCTCTGTCTTGAGAATATGTGAAGTCTCAGGTGCATTAACAAAAGACCTGGAACCATTCACAGTGCAGCAGAAAGCTTCGTTTGAGGCAGAAACTACAGTTCATCCTTCTTCTTTCCTACTCTTTCATGGTCTCTTTCTCT